TAAACTATCAACACCACCTGCTGTTGAACATGAAGAAACATGAAACTATGAAAATAATTTCATTTCATCCTTCTAACTTGAACAGATAGGCTTAATTCTAATTTCTAAGTTGTACATACAGTTGATTAACTTGAGTCTTTATTAAAAGATGTACGTAGGAAATGTCTATGCGCAAATCAATAGATATATCAATATATACATATATGTAAATCATGTGTAACAGTTTTCTTTGTTTCAGTGGCACCTTGTTGAAAACGTTCGCCGAAATAACGTTCTTCGAGATTTAGCGAGACTTAATCGTATAGGTCATGAAGTAAGGCAGTATGGCTGCCGACCTGATGACAATATGTGGTGGAGACGTGTACCGTCTAGAAAACCAGTAAGGAACCGATCTTTGTGTCTATGTTCTTTATTCCTTCTATTGTTTTGTTTATATGTCAGTGTAAATGTGAGAGAGAAAGGTTAATTGTGTAAAAGAAAGGATACTACAGTAAACTGTATTCACATCAGTAAAAATGCGTATCAAATGTATCAAATTTTGCATAGCAAACATTGTTTAGTTTAAACATATTTTATTGCATTAAATGCATGTTTACAAACATATCATACAAATAATGAGCAAACATTGTTCTAAAGATAATGTAGTCTTTAATTTAATTTAAGGTTTCACAATGTAAACGATGTAAACACAAATATGAACCGATACCAAGAGAGCAGGAATGGGGTTGGGCTAGGTTTGAATGCATATGCGCAATTAAATTCAAGTAAATACTTGTTTTAAATTGATCTTTTTCAGGAGTCTTGATAAATATTTTGCCGTTTATGTCGTATTTTAAATTTTTCTAAATGACTGATTTTGGGACAGATATATTCAATACAAACTTATTGTTTTATACATCTTATACATACATTTCTTGAACATCTATCGATACTTTAATTTATTTAAATATAATAAATTTGAAGCCATTTTGTATTAACAGATAGTATCTTTTCAGAAGAAAGGTATTACTAGTAAAAGATACAAAGATTTAAGTATTGAAATCGCATACTTAGCCATTATAGAATGCATGTCTGTACTTTCCTTTTTGTATCTGTACAGCGCTTTTGCAATGATGGATAAAGGTCTACTGGGTCCCCAATACATTGGTAAAAGTCAAAGTTTATGTTACACCTGTATGTCTCATCTGTGTGAGCCAATTCAGATTCTCCCACCAATGAGACGACGTCGGAACATAGATGGTGACGAAGAAGATGGGCGTAACGTTGGCAACGGATATGGGCGTAACGGTGGTACTGGAGATGGGCGTAACGGTGGTACTAGAGATGGGGGTAACGTTGGCAACGGATATGGGCGTAACGGTGGTACTGGAGATGGGCGTAACGGTGTCAACGTATATGGGCGTAACGGTGGTACTGGAGATGGGCGTAACGTTGGCAACGGATATGGGCGTAACGGTGGTACTAGAGATGGGCGTAACGGTGGCACTGCAAATGGGCGTAACAATGGCAGGGGAAATAGGCGTAACTGGTATGACAGACGCAGGCCTCGCAAACATACCCATAGATGTACTGCCCCAAACTGTTACAGACGATACACCCCCGATCCAAGAAGTATGATCCAATAATTTAACTTTATTTGACTTATAATGACGATACACTTTTAAAAACGTTTTGGTTACTTAACCATTCATAAGTGAATAAACACAATAGTATGACTTTGTAAGCAGTACAAGAATGTCACAGTGTCACGTGATGATAATAGTAAGCAACTATATTTACAAGTAATTAGTGCAGTAAACATTAATTTTACGGTATTTCCTTATGATCTTGCCAATCAGTTATGCTTTTCTTTGAAGGTCATGAACCGCTCGTGCAGATCTGCGTCCATCCCAACTCTTTAAAGAACAAAGTGCATGGGTTTGGCAGTGATCGTCATATAAGTACAGGATCTACGGTGGGAACATGCCTGTCACAAGATGACATCGACGCCTCGTATGAGCCATGTCTTGCTGATATAGAGGAGGCAGACGAGATAGGTGACGACCAAGATAATGCTTAAAGTGTAATACTAGTATGTCTGTTTAAAGTTACTCGTTTACATTTCAAATATAAAACTCGTGTCCCTGTATCTAAAATATTTCCCAAAACTTTTATGCACAGTTTTGTTTTTATTCTTTAACACAACTCATCACTGGCCAATGTCTTCAATATTCACAGATATAAATAAAATTAATGCGACCTCTGTTCATCTACAGGTAGTCAGTGTTAATTTGACCTTAACACTATCGTTATTACGATCATTTTGCTTCTTTTTTCATTACACTGCATTTTGTTGTTTCTTTCTGGATGTAGAAAGGCATTTGTGTTTGACAAACAAATCTTGAATCAGTCACAGTTTTGTTACACGTTCTTAATTTGGACGTTTCACATTTGAATCACTTTTAAATTAGAGTTTCTTTGCTGCAATCTAGCTTTACCATACATTCTTGATTATTTATGTAGTATCTATTTATTTATCATTAGCTATAAACCAGAAAAATAAACAAAGCTGTTCCCCGTCAGGACTTATTTTGCATCAGGTTATCAGTCATGTGTACTGGCTACTTACATTGAGTCACTTATGCTTCAAATTTGACAAAGATACAAGAAACGAGTAACTTTAATTTGAAAATATTAATTTGTTGTATACGGCAATTTATTATGCACTTACTATATGTTCTGTAAATATGTTGTGTGTGTGCTGGAGGCAAAAAAAGGAAATAAAGTTTGTCATTGTCAAGAGGTAGCATCATCATTAACTCAATATAACACACTTAGTGCGCTAATTCTTATTTTTATATTCACTTATACATTATGTGCTTTTAACCAGATTTTACCGTGCTTAACTAATTATTGAATTTATGATAGTTTATTGAAATCTTCATGTACAGTTTTTTCTACGAGCCGGACCAGACTGGTGAATACTGTAAATATATGTAAAAACTGGTAATTAGTTTCTCTAAAAAAATACCAAACATATGTGTGTTAGTTTGGTTATATATTACACATAAAAGTTGCCGTTCGGAGCATTTCAACTAAAAAAAAAAAGATGTGTGTGTGTAATGGCGAAAGAACTAACGACAAATCTTAAAAGACGCAATTTAATAAGATATGATAAAATTAGTGTAAATATTTATTTGTGTTAAATACGCTGATTGGTATATCTTGACTTCTGAAGTATCGAGCAGTCTTTAACAAATGATAGCGCACTGAACGTTGCTTCGTATTCTGCTGTTCACGCATATACCGAAGAATTAACCATGACCTACAAGTCATAATCTTTCACTTTCCAATTCTTGTCTCCAAAGTAATTAAAGGAAACATTTTATATAGTTTATACACAAATAAAAAAAAATAGAAAATAAACAAAAACAACTAAAAACAAGAGGGTCATGATGGCCCTGAAATCGCTCACCTAGCTGTATATAGGCCCCCGGGGCGGAACCAATTTAAACCAAGGGGCTTTTATTTGAACAAACGTGGTAGCCACCCATTAGAAGATGTTTCATGATAAATATCTAAGCTCTTGCTCTTTGGGGTTTTTAATAGAAGATTTTTACTATACACATATCGGGAAAAACAATGACCCCCGGGCGGGGCCAATTTTGACCCCAGGGCTTTTATTTGAACAAACTTGGAAGACACTCACTAGAAGATATTTCATGCTTAGTATGTTAACTCCAGCTCTTTGTTTTTTTTAAAGAAGATTTTTAAGTTTTTACTATACACATATAAGGAAAATCAATGACCCCCGGGGCGGTGCCAATTTTAACCCCAGGGACCTTATTTGAACAACCTTGGTAGACACCCAATAGAAGATGTTTCAAGCTAAACATTTACCTCTAGCTCTTATTGTTTTTTTAAAAGAAGATCTTTTAAGTTTTTGCTATATACATAAAGGGAAAACAATGACCCCCTTTGGGCGGGGCCAATTTTGACCCCAGGACTTTTAGTTGAACAAACTTGGTAGACACCCACTAGAAGATGTTTCATGATTAATATCTAAGCTCTAGCTACTTGGGTTTTTTAAAAGAAGATTTTTTTAAGTTATTACTTATAATACACAAATAAGGAAAATCAATGACCCCCCGGGCCAATTTTGACCCCAGGGCTTTTATTTGAACAAACTTGGTAGACACTGACTAGACAATGTTTCATGCCAAATATTTAAGCTCTAGCTCTTTAGGTTTTTTAAAAGAAGATTTTTTAAAGGTTTTTTTCGGTTGCCATGGCAACCAGATTTCTGCATGGAATTAAATTCTTTAAACATTTTTTCAAGTTGACTACCAAAGGAACATTCCTGTGAAGTTTGGATGAAATTGGCATAGCGGTTTATGAGGAGATGTCGTTTAAAGTAAAAGTTTACGGACGGACGAACGGACGCCGGACGAAAAGCGATCACAAAAGCTCACCATGTCACTTTGTAACAGGTGAGCTAAAAACATAAAAAAACAACCATATAAAAGGATACATATATGCAAGGCATGAAATAAATTAACAGCTAGTGCAGTAATGGTTTGACAGTTGTTTTGTGCTTAGACATTTGATATCATTATGGTGGTGTGATAACTGTGTTAGATTTCAATACAGTTTCCAGGAAACGTAAAGTTGGTGAAATTATGTTTGAACTGTAGTTTTCCAGTTCGCGAGTTTATGAGTGTTGAAATGAACTGTTTCATCCCCACAGAGGGATTTATTATATACCTCAAAAAGAGTCTGTCATTTACCAGACGTGTATTTGGAGGCCAGATTTACACAAACCTTGATCTTCGTACACCATTGCCCCACATATTGTTTGTCCAAATATTATCAAACCAGTGCATTGATAAGAAATTTCAACAGAATTGAAGAAAATATTTCATATTTGAACTTGACAGTCAAGACCAACTCAATCTGTTTTTTGGGGAGTATCAATTAATCAAAATATACATTAAAAGATTTGAAAATAATATAACAAATGCAACATTATAAAATGAATTTAATATAAAACAGAAATATATCACTAAGCTATATTTGTGTCTAAAAACTACAATTGTAACAAAACTAGGTCGGACAAGCATTTTCAATAGAAATCCTCTGTATACTTAAACACAATTACTACATATACAATGTTACAATCTAATAGGTTTATAAGTTGCAATATGCTTTATTTGAGTATTTTTAATAAAACAATACAAAACAAAAGTATATAAAAATCTATTTCAGAAGCTTTAATCAACCCATAAACTGCTGGAACTGACAGTGACTTTGCCACCAGTATAGAGCCAAGCCAGCCTGCACATCTTTGAAGTCTGACCAGGCTCTATACTGTTGGTAGTTCATATACTTTTTGTATATTGTTACGGAAATTCTTAATATTCAAATGGGCTGTTCCAAACTCATAACAATGCAAATCATTAACAAAATTTCAGCTGGTTAAATCTTAGAATAAAGGGTTAAAATAATCATTCAGTCATGTAAGTAAATAATCTCAATATGATCAATTAACATTATCAAATCTGCTACATTGATAGTTTAAGTTCTCTTATACGTATAGATATATTTTATATGATGATATAACTTCCAATCTGACATCTTTAAACATTGCTTCGTATAAACTTACCATAAATTATTTCAATATAGATATCCTTACCAAATTCAGATCTACAGGAAATCTAAATGGGATAAAAATTGTGATACAAATAGTCTTGTTCCTCAAATGTAAATTATTCTGATATAACCACAGAAGCATTTTAAAATCAATTTAACTCTAAACACTTATTCTAAGCAATATATTTAAATGAAGTAGAGCATTTAATACTATTTCATCAAAATGAGAGAAAACAATTTAAAAGAGATTTTTTTCCTATTTTGAAACATATCATTAATAGTTAACTCTAATAGTTATGATCAAGTTCAAGAATATTCATTGTACGTGTATAAAATTTGAAATTCACACACTCATAGGAATATTTCCGAAACAAAAAAGTGCCAAATTTTCTCAGGTATTTCTTAACTGTATCCTGGGATCAATCCATAATTATTGCAATAGACAAATTAGATAAAGTATTGTTCTAAACTTCTTCAAGTTCTACTAAAGTTCCGTTACAGTCTTTAGGATGTAAAAACACTACAGGTTTACCATGGGCACCAATCCTTGGCTCCTCGCTCAGCAATCGGATATTCTTAGCCTTTAAGTCTTTCATAGCTTCTTTTATATTGTCCACCTTAAAAAAAAACAACAAAATAATAATTTAGGAATACATAACACATTTGTCAGGTCAATTTTCCTACTTGTACTACTGTATTGAATAATTGTACATGTTCATTCATCTATTTATAGTCACATGGATTTAGGTTAAAAATTTATAATAATGATGAGGATGATAATTATTATACTAAAATATTCATAGCTAAGACAAAGTGACATCATTTAAAACTATACTAAATCTTTAAAAAAAAGATGTCTTTTACAGTTTTACCTCCTCAACAACATGTCAAGTTTGTATAGTTTCTTTTAGGAGGATTCAGTAAAACGTTCATTAATTTGGAAAGAACAAGAATGTAGGTATCAGGTGACATTAAGGTCATCTTCTGAGCTACCTCTCAACTTTGCTGAACTATAAGGAAAATATTAGCTTCAATAATCTTCAACATGTAGCTACATATTACATACTTGTCACTTTATGAAGGCCCTTGTAATATTTAAAAGAATACAATCATAATACTACTTGTCTAACTGACTTTACTTCAATGGCAGCCATACATACACGCTACCTACATACCAAAATACCTGATACAGTATGTGAAGTGGAATGGAAGAAAAAAACCTGGACATTCCAAAAAGTTTTCTTGAAATCGTATCAAATCATGTCTTCAACTCAAGTTTTCATGAAATATGTGACACTAATAATGATAACATATCAAACCTCTAAACATATGTGGTGCATTCCTCCACTTTTATTCTTGTCCAGAAAATTCTGAATTGGGCTTTTCTCACCGAGAGGGTTTAAAAGCTGAAAAATAGTAGAAAAACAAATAACATTTTCTGCTATGTACAGGTTTTTTTATTCAGCATGTTTTGTATTATAAACTGAATGTTTTATATAAATCTCTATGAATGTTACACTGGGTAAGAAATATGTGCAGTCTGACCTGACCCTCAGCATACCCTTTCCTTAGCTTTACCAACTGAGCTTCATGACCACTTACACATCTTTCCTCCTTTTACATGTTTTAGTTAACAGTTCTACAATGTCAGATGTATCTTCTTTCAATGATGGAATTCCTGGCAAGTTTAACTTATATTCAAAGTGACCAGTTTTAAGATGAAAGAAGTACACACGATGTACAGGAAACTAATAATTATCTTGATGAATTTAGTTGTTAGATTCAACAAATATACAAACAATTTCTTAACTGTTTTAATTCTTATGTAGATAAAGACTTCTATGTGCTACAATATAGAGCACATTTATACCATCTGATAAAACTCTATCTGCACTCTTTTAAAAAAACAAAACCTAAACATAGATAATAAATATCTCTTAACTTTAAAAGCAGATTGAAAACAGAATAAGTATTTTATAAAAATTAAGTATAATAAGGGTTGAATGTTAGAGTTTACCTCAATTTTTGTATCACCCAGCTCTACAAACACTGTGTAAACACCATGATCTGGTTGTGGCTAATAATAGATAATAAAACAATTTATTGACCATTGAACACACTAAACATGATTTATACACAATGGAATAACTTTTGGCTCCTCTAATTTCACGAAGAATTCAAATGCACTTTATCTGTATGTGTTTAAATTTGAAATCCTCATATCTCTATGCAAAGAATGGTAACTAACTGATCCCATAGATATGAAACAATGTCTGTAAATTTAAGACCAGAGATGTTTGAATTATAAATAAATGTAAACAAAACCATTATTTATCATTAATAGTAAACCTTTCAAGGCATGTGAATAAAAGCTAGAATTTAACATTTACATCATAGGTTTTATTTATGTGACTGTCTGTAAGGAAAGGGATAAGAGTCGAAAAAGTGGTTTACAAATTTAGTACCCTTAACATTATCAATACATAGTTCTAGTTCATTAAAGAAATCTTACATGTTTATCACTGACTTTAGCTCCTAAAACATCTCTATACATGGCTGCTGTTTTCTCAATGTCAGGTGTGGCAATAGCTATATGGTTAATCTTTCCAATTTTCCATTTCTAAAACAAACAACAAATTGTACAAAATAGCCATTTACGTGTATATAATAATAATAATATAAATCATGCAAATTATAAAATTTCACAATGAATTTCAGTTCGCAATGAAGTTTGGATTTTTTTAAATCCAGTTTTTCAATGTTTGACAAGTGTCAAGACACAAAAAGCTTCACATGAATTAATGTTTCATTGTTAAAGACCTTTCAAAATCACTAATGCTTCAGGATTAATATTGGTTCTTTTCTCTTCTTTTGAGAACTTTCATCAATTGTTAATATAATTACCATCTTTAAATAAAATATCTATATATATCTCTTCAAAAATATTTTCAACAACAGTGTTTTGTTCTGATGATGATTACCTGTAATGTTGCAGCAGAGGTATGGAGTCCTGAACAATGTCTCTGAAAAGAACAATCAAAATAAGGTACCATAACAGTTAAAAATGCTGCATAAAAACTCAAGTCTAAATGTATTGAAAATGTTCTTGGTAGATATAAAACTGGAAAAAAGACAACATTGTTTACAATACGGGCTTCAACACAATGACAGGGCAGCTTCAAGAGACAATTGTCATAACACCTGACAATACTGTAATTACTGCACCATACATTTAGCATAACACCTGACAATATTGTACTGCTGCTACATATATTTAGCATTACACCTGACAATATGACAATACTGTAACTGCTGCTACATACATTTAGCATAACACCTGACAATACTGTAATTACTGCACCATACATTTAGCATAACACCTGACAATATTGTACTGCTGCTACATACATTTAGCATTACACCTGACAAAACTGTAATTGCGGCTACATATATTTAGCATTACACCTGACAATACTGTTATTGTTATAATATACATTTAGCATGACACCTAACAATACTGTAATTGCTGCCACATATATTTAGTTTTAGACCTGACAATACTGTTATGGCTGCTACATACATTTAGCATTGCACCTGACAATACTGAAATTGCTGCTACATACATTTAGCATTACACCTGACAATTCTGTTAAATATATTGCTGCTACATACATTTAGCATTACACCTGACAATACTGTAATTGCTGCTACATACATTTAGCATTAGCACCTGACAATACTGTAATTGCTGCTACATACATTTAGCATTACACCTGACAATACTGTTATTGCTGCTACATACATTTAGCATTACACCTGACAATACTGTAATTGCTGCACCATACATTTAGCATTACACCTGACAATACTGTTATTGCTGCTACATACATTTAGCATTACACCTGACAATACTCTAATTGCTGCTACATACATTTAGCATTGCACCTTATAATTTTGTACTACTCTAACAGACATTTAGCATTAAAACTCTTAAGTACAAGAAAACTCCAGCAGACAACTCCAGCAGACATTTGCCTGATTTGGCAAATCAGGCACCAAACTGTCTGCCATGAAGTGTCCTATATGAATCCTGTCGTTTCAAATTTGGTTTAATGAGGTAGTGTTTGAGGATATCATCCTGCCTAAAAAAAACGCCCAAGTTTTATCTTGAAGTGATTGGGGATCACTAAGAATCCTTCGAAAAGATAGATGTCCGAAATAAGGGTAAATGACAGGAACCAAAATGAAGTGAAAAGAATGATTTTGCAATTATATAAAATTTGCAGTATATTTAAAACTATACCATGAGGTGCGCACACTGGACAGAAAGCCGTGTCACTTTATTTAAAGCCATAATGTATCACTTTCGCTGCAGAATTTAACCTTGTTTTGTTATTATCCGAAGTGACCTTCACATTGGTCAAATTAACTAACGGTTTCCGGTCTCCGGTTTCTACCGGTTAGTCTCAAGAATCCCGTTCCATATAATACGGTATTATCTAGGAATACATGTATTTGGACATGCATACTTTTTATTAGCATTTAAAATAATATCATTGTACATTTTCACCCAATATTAAATTTCATAATCGTTCCTTTCCCAACATATTAATCAAGAATATAAAAACTATATATAGAAATTCGTTTCAATGGCAAAAATTAAATATCAACATTATCATGGGTTTTTTCATTGTTCAATATTGCATATTTTAAGTCATGCGACTGTTGAAATTAAGATGTATACTCAACATCACTAATTCCGCGTCATCACTTATTTCACGGTAGTGGCATATTTTCATGTGACCAGTATTTTAAATCTCTAGATTTTTACGTAAAACAGAACAACATTTTACAAATTTCTGCAAAAAGCAACAATAGTCCATTAAATTTGTGCGTATGTCTGAAACAATCATCATTTTCTAAATATTCTTGTTTGTTGAAAAGATAAATTTTGAGTTACAAAGTAAGGATAATTTTAATATTTAAAATCAAGCAAAATAACATTAGAAATTTAACTGAAACATGAAAAAACGTAAATGTTACACCATTACCGCGATTTAAATGATGACATACTGTTTTCAAAACGGCCGACATATGGTCTACATTTGGTCTATTAAAATTGACTTTGACTGAATATATTGTTGTTTCCTTGTGTCATACAGCAGAAAATACCTATATGTTATAGCTTATGACAATTTTTGTACCATAAGTTTCATTTGTTGTTTTCTTTCTGGGTTCAAAGCGTTAAGTACCGTGAACTAAGATCGAGGAGCACAGTATAAAATGCGTTTTAATAACGATAGCAAAACGTTCTGCCTCTGAATAACAGAGGTTAAAGCTCTGACAGAGCACTGCTGAGGCTGACATTTTCTGTTTCGTTACGTCAAGACTAGCTTTAAATACTTTTTCCCATTTTAAGTTGATGGTTTCCTTTATTTAAATACTTTTTAATGGGTTATAAAATATATTCACATTTTACCAAAAAATAAAATGAATAATACTAATACAAGTTAATGATAAAAAAATACATTAAATACAGCAATACAACAATTGAGCGATGCAAATAAGAATTATTTCAAGTAAATGAATGAAATAAAAAGAATCTTATCACAATGTCTCAATTAAGAAGGATAGTTCGCAGGAATTTGGAAGAAAAGAAAATGTTAAAACTTAATGTAAAACTCTCAAATCCCTTTTATACCACGTAAAATACGATTGGGCATATACAAACTGTTCACAAAATTGATACGAACATAGCCGAATTTTCTCGGACGTGAATTTCCGCTACAAGAGTACGTACGTTACGCTACCATCCAATGCAATACAATAGCAGACGTCACGGAAACAAAACGACAATTGAGCATGCGCGGACATTCACTATAATTATACTGTATTTTCCCGCGCTTAATTGACAAATAGCTAGTGCACGGCAAAATGAACCCGTGACATAAATATGTTGTGGTTTTTTATGTCCATGGGTTTGGCTTGATGATGGTTGGGACCCCATTGGAAATAAGCACATCAGATCACTCTTAACAAAACCATTGTATTGAAATTTTATTATTATTTTTTGTCTTTTAAAATCTATGTTAAACTATTTAGTTTTATTTGTCATGTCTATCAGTAACTTTAAACAATATTCTGTGCTTATTATTATTCTGACTTGTTGTAGTCATAATCTGAACTGTGAATTTTTTAAATAATTTTATCAAATGCCTCATCTTATATTGTATGTATATCCTTTTTATGTAACTGTGATTTATGTTAACATTGCAAAAATAAAATAAATAAATAAATACTATATTGTAATGATTATGGACAGACTTTGATGATATAAATACAGTAAAGTAGTCATATTTGTATTTGATAAAAGAATGTGTTTATATGCAGGCGATACATGTGATCTTCTTCTTCTTCCAGTATACTTGCCACCTTCAACTAACTAAAGTTTACTGCCAGGTTAATGGGTTGATGTCTAGTTTATACCTAAAATAATATTCTTTCAATATCTAAAATTTCTCTTGTGTTTCCTTCTCGATGAAATCTTAAAATTTATAATCAATGAACTTCTTTCAAGTTTTTAATTATTTACAGTATTTATTACTTTTTTTTGGTCAAACAATTTTTTTAAACAAATATTAGCTCTATTAATGCTATTTTTATCATCATGCTTTTCCCGTCAAATTGAAATTTTAAAAATCAAATTCATCACAATTATTTTCGCTACTTCTGTAGTTCCTTTGGGTTAATAAAAAGATACCGAAAATGGACGACAACATTGTACATTTAAATGTTTGGGGAGGAGATTGGGATCTTCCATCCGTTGATCCAAACTGTCTTGCTGCGTTGGTAAACATAATCAAACTTTTACACGACTCTTTTGTAGATCAGTTAAAACAATCATTATTAAATCCTCCAGTATGATGCACACAATAAATATATATTGGTGACCTCTTTACCCCACCCATTTCTGTCAGTGGTGTATAGTGTTCGGATAGGCAATATTTTGGATATCTCTATAAGTAAAAAGCGAAAAGAAGAATGAAAACTTTATTATTGTTGATGAAAATGTTGTTCTTAGGTACTAAATAAAGAAGAGGCTACATTATCATAAATTTAGGATCATTCTTCCCTAGCATGCCCTCTGACTGTTCTTTTAACTAAATAATATGTATAGAAAGCCTAATTGGGGCCTCAGGCCCAGCAAGGACTGTAGCCCTCTTAGATAACATGTATGACATGAATGTATTATATTGAAATCATTTTAAAATTAAAAAGTTCAGACTGTTCTGACGATTTTTACTGTGCATGCATGTACCCCTAGCCTTTTGGTTCTTATGTGTGCATGCAGAATTGTGTGCATGAATCATGCACTGAAGGGCATTCTGGACATATGTGATTTACACAGATTGTTACATGTATATCAAATATTTATGTAAGCTTTAACCACTTACAAAAGGTGAACATTATAGCATTTTTCTCCGTAGTGCTAGAATAAATTTAAATACTTGTGTTTCTTTTTTCACATTTTCAGGCATACTGCAGGTTTTCTGGTGTACCTGTAAAAGTTCATAAAAATACTAATCCATGGAGGTCGCCGTCAGGTGAGTAGTAGCAATTTAAGCAGTTTAACAAAATAAGTTTGAAGACTTCTTTTAGGAGATAACTAAGCTATTTCGTTTGTAAAATGTTAAGGTCAATAAAAGATTTCTACTCAGACAAAAAACTCATTCAGATTTTGACTGAAATTATTTGATGTAGTTTCTTGTGCATGTTCATAAGACATTAAAATATTTATTAATATCTAAGCTACAAGGTATTTTGTTCGTTCTATATATAAAGTGATTTTCAGTGTACAGTCAAACATGTAAGTAAAGGCCATCTGAAGGAAGGACCACACATGACCTTTATAGAAAAGTGGTCTTTATTTGGAGTATACTCTGTTGTATTTTTATCAATAATATTTGTCTTTATTTACAATATGGTCTTTATTTTGTAGGTGGTATTTAACACAGGTTGGATTTTAAATGCAATCATTGTGTATTTAAATGATGATTATAGCTTTTGATGTTATGAGTGATGTATGATAAGGGCACAATATTTTCTTCTTTATAGAATTTATAATATCTTCATTTCAGGTACATTTCCATGGTTTATAATATCATTATTTCAGGTACATTTCCATGGTTTATAATATCACTATTTCAGGTACATTTCCATGGTTTATAATATCATTATTTCAGGTACATTTCCATGGTTTATAATATCATTATTTCAGGTACATTAATAATATCATTATTTCAGGTACATTTCCATGGCTCAAACATAACAACAATAATGAGACAAAAGTTGCAAATATTTTCAGTTATCTGAGAAAACAGGTCAGTTTATAATTTTGTTGAAGCCTAAAGGCTAAACAATTAAAAAAAATGATAATTGGAAAATATGATTTATGTTATGTATTTTATTCTATGTATGATATAATTACCTATATGATATATTGCTGATACATGTATTGAAAGAAAATTAATTAAAACAAACTACATCAAGACAATTTTTGAAAAAAATACTGAATTTAAGGATGGTAATCATTTACTGTTCCTATTTTGTGAATTGTTATAAAATCTTTTCTGTCCAGCAGTTTTGAATATGTATTTTATGTTGCTTTTATTTACTGTCAGAATATGGGTAGCTTAACTTTTCAAAAAACAGGTGCTGATGGTTTTCTACTGGCCATGCTTGAGGAAAAAATTTTTCCCGGGTTTTGGGATCACCTTTCATCTTAACTCAAGTTCATCACTAGTAAATTATATCTTAATTAGCCTGTTTAAATTATTCCCTTATGAAAATGTTGAAAATGTCCTGTTTTACATGTACATGTTGGTTGCTATTTTAATCATTGACAGCTATGGTTTTACATCACTGGGCTCTTGCTGCCATGGGTTTAAATCTTTACAAAGATAAAGTTCTTTTTCAAAATTTTGTGTTTGAAATGGTCCGATAAAGATGAAAAGTTGCATGAAGATGTTAAATTGTGCTTGAAGTAAAATTATTTTCTATACCTTTAACACTTACTTTTAAGTGATCGTTTGTTAATTGGTAGCTTAAAATAGGTAATTATTTGTAGGTTTTACATGTCAACTATTTTTGTACATATACCTTTAACAATTTAACATTATTCCTGGAGGCTGATTTGACAAATTTGTTTATTTTAGTTACACCTGTGGTGGCTAGAGAGTGAGACATACACAAATATAACACGACCATGGTATACAAAAGCAACCATGTTTCCTTTTAAACTGTGGCTGCCAGGTACAATCTTTAGTAAAGCAGAAAAGAGGGTTTATGTAGCACAGGGAACAGAAAATATATCAGAAGCTGATATTAATTCAAAGGTATTTTGTTTTGTCTTTGATTAGTAACATGTTTGGTAATTAGAAACTTAAAGTAACCCTGTTAT